CCTTTTAGGTTATCTGATTCTACAGGGGTCTGCACCTTTAACTGGGCTATTTTATTTTTATAACTCAGTACCTTATAGAAAACTGCTTTTACTGCAAATGAATCTTGTCCAGTGAAGATGTAACTAATCCCCGTGACCCAACCCTCCCAGGGAAGTCGTCAACTGTGACTCTACTTACAAATTTATTTCCACATTTTCCACCACCTATGCATGTTATTTACTCTTTGGATTTTCCTTGGAACTTGTTGTAACATCTTACTATTTCTTGTATTAATTAATAACTAATATAAAATCTTTGGCATAGTCATTTTTAAAAAATCAATTGTTTTCTATCTGTCCTGGTTGTTATTTCTTACATTTTAAAGTACAGAGTGCCACCATTCTGACATTCAGAAGCAAGAAGGAAAATCTATCTAGTTGAACAGACTAGTAACCCTGTTATTTGAACTACATTTCATTTGTTAAGGCATCTTGATACACATTGATGATCTTGTAAAATAAGCTCCAGAAGGAACTGCACTGCCACTCAAGGCTGGCAGCAACATTCAGCAACAAATACATAATTTATGAAACTCCAGTACTGTTAACATTCCAACACGGAAGAGTGGAACACAGTGATGAATGCTGGATTCCAAGCTTTGCAACAAAGCTGCTCAGGGACTTTTTGATTTAAGGATTCAAAATCAACCACCCTGCAGTTAAAAACGAGGTGAGAGAACATCCCCAGGTTCACAGATTAAGGGTTATAAAGAATATAGCTTCTTCATGTATTCATGTTTCATCTCACATCCCTGAAGCATTTATACTAGAAAGTATTTCAAAACTGGTTATTATTTCATGGATGAGTGCTGCAATGCAAATGATCTTACAACTGCATAAAAACCCCACTTTTCACAACCACCAGGATCTGCCACCACAAAGACTCAGTGAGATGGCTTCATTTCCTTTCTCACCAGCCCTAGAAGTAACATATATCTGATCAGCCCCAGCTACATAATTTGGGGGGTGCAATGCAAAATGAAAATACAGGGCCTCTTGTTAAAAATTTGTTAAGAACTGCCTGGCCAGGCGTGGCTCAGAGGTTGAGCATCGACCTAGGATCCAGAAGATCAAGGTTCGATTCCCAGTCAGGGCATGTGCCCGGGTTGCAGGCTTGATCCCCGGTTGGGAGTGTGCAGGATGCAGCCGATCAATGATTCTCACTCATCGTTGATGTTTCTATCTCTCTCTCCCCCTCTCCCTTCCTCTCTCTGAAATCAATAAAGATATATTTTTTTAAAACAGAAATTTGTTAAAAATAAAAAAAATTTGTTAAGAATTACAAGACGGTGACCGCAGAGCAGTAAACCAAGTGTGAAGACTTTCTAAGCATGGGGCCTTGTGTGACTGCACAGGTCGCAGAACCAATGAAGCTGGTCCTGTATCTGATTCTTCTTAAGTAAAAGGGTAGAGAAGCCGTTATCCTCTTTACAGAAACAGATTTTCAGGCACAGGCTAATATCTGTCCAAATGTCAACTTAGGCCCTCTTCCATCCCCTCATAGTATGGGGAACTTTGAGGATGCTTATAACAAAGGTCATACACACAGTATGAGCAGGAAGAGAGAAACCTAGGGCTGGGATTGTGAGAATACACAGGCCATGCGTGCCCAGGGTCATGGCTGTGACCAAGTCTCAGGCAACCTGCAGAGCCCAAGGAGGCACCCACCTGCCACAAGGGACCACAAAGACTTTTAATCTTTGCTTTAAATCAAGTTACCATTAAATTAAATTTGCAAAGTCTCAGGAACCTAGGAAAACACTGTTATAAGAAAAATTATGGTTATAAAGTTGGTCATGGAATGAAAGATATTATCTAAAAATAAAAAAGGACCTACAAAGCCCTAGTCCCATTGTTGGATTTGACAAGGTGAGCATGGGGCAATAAATGTCCAGGTTTATGCTTTGATAATATCCTTCCAACTGGTAACTGACACTTGAAAAACATAACTGGTCTCTGAAACTGGAACTTTTTCTTTGCTTTTCTCTCCACAGAACTAGCACATAATCATGTTCCCTTTGCTGCAGGGAACAAAAATATCAAAATGCTTCCAATGCAGAAAAAATTGTATAGAAGCATACTTTGGTAGCTTTTTCCCCCGTTGGACTTGGAAACATTTTTGCTGTCATCAATCAGTTACTCTAGTGATAAAGGTCTCTCTGCTTTGATGGGATTTTTACCCACAAAGTCAAACTACCAAAATTTATTTCTGCCACTGAAGGACAGTATGAAGCTACAGAACCTGTGACAAAGCTACATGGATCTGCCCTCTACCCTATGGTTGGACATTTCCAGAAGGGGGGAAGGCAGTCTCCCCACTGTGAGGGGCATGGAGCTCTGGTCCTGTCTGCTCTCCCCAGTTCTCCAGCTCACCAATTTGGCTCCTGATTTGGAACTCTGACTACCATTAGTCCCCTGGGGAAGGTGGGAAAATAAGTAATTGTAGGACAGCAAAAGGGGCAGCCTCAAGCCCCAAGCACAAACTCTTTGGCCTCTAAAGTAAAACAGATAAAACATCATGGGGCATGGTGTTAGTCAAGCTTGACCATGTGTTAGTCAAGCTTCATTTTTCTATCTCCAGTGCCTAGCACAGTGCTGGATACAAAGAAGGTTCTGAATAGCTTCCTTAGTTCAAAATGCACTAAGGTTTGGGAGACTTAATTGTTAGCTGGAGTCTTTGAGGATGGTAGGTCAGTATTCTCATCTAAAAAATGGTATCTGCCTTCTCTCTTTCAGAGGGTTAGTTTAAGATTAAACTGAGGGCCCTGTGTGTTTTGAAAGTTCTTTACAAAATATTAGGCACTATCAAATAAAAAAATCACTGAACGCTGATCCAGTGGCCAACTTTCAGGGCAAAGGATGGCTGCTGTGAAAGCAGGCCTATGACTTCTCCTTTCCTGCCTGATGCCCTTGCCCCTTCTTTCCTGCCCCTTCTTTGTGAATCCCATCCTCCTACTCCCAGCAGTTCTAATGGCTCCCCTCAGGCACTCACAACCACTCTAATAGGGTGACACCAACTGATGCTGAGGAAGTTTACTTCTCCCAGCTCTCTGACACCAGGGTAACCCCTCTCTCAGCGAAGACCTGAGAGCCCCTCATAGAGTTGACTTTATTACTAAGCTTGAGTTAAATAAAGCACCAGGCAAAGGCCTTCTGCCATTGTTCCTAAAGCCGTTCTCACTGGTGGCTCCTAATCTTACCAGCTTGCATGCTCCACTAAGTTCTAAGAGTGTGATTTTCCCAGGATAAACTCCAAGTATAGTCTGTTTCATTTTCTAAAAGAACAAGTCTGTATTTCTTAGAAACTGGAGAACCTATTAGTTTAGGTTTCATTTCTCTGGGACTGAGAGACTGCACCTCAACTTTACAGCTTTCTTTCCCACCCTGTGGATGGGTCATGCAAGACTGCTTGCAGTCTTTATCAACCACTGTGTAAAAACAAAGCTAGTTATAAACTCATCTGAATGAGTCCAACAAATATTACTGACCTTCATTCAAAACCTGCATTTTATTTCTCCAAGAGCCTAAGGTGACAGGAATTACCTGGCAGATTAGATAATAACGGAGTATTATTAAACAGGACTGTGTTTGGTTTCTCTCTTTCTTCACTTAACATGGATAATATGAACTCCTTCTACATGATCTTGATGCATGTCACCCTGCCTGGACAGAAATATAAGGAACTATTCCTCTAAGGAGCCAGTGGCAAGGTCCAAGTAGCCCCACAAGCCAGCTGTGGCTCCAGACAACTGGTCTGTTCTCTAATGTGGGAAAGAAGGGCTTAATAGCTACTTCTTTAACAATAAAATAATTATTTGTGCATGAGCCCTCCAAAACTGAATTAGTTCAATAATCCTAAACTGTAGATTTAACTAGTTAGGAGACTGTTTTAAATCTACTGTTTCCAAGCAGATTTGTAAGAAGAGCTAAAGTTGCTTAAAACCAGTCAGTTCATGGGAACATTACTGACAGTTGTTTATGGAGGTTTGCAGTCACTCTCAATATCATTTGGAAAACTTCACAAGTTCAAAATAATTTAGATTAGAGTTCTAAAGCACATCTAAAGTTCTTTTCTGCAGCATGATCAGACTTTGCCCCCAAGGACTGTGGGCAGCACAGCACAGGACAAATCAGAGTGTGGTCTGAGGTTCACCAGCAGAGAGCTGCCTGGGTGGAAGGCCTGCTACCATTCAGATGCCCTCAGTTCCAGATAGGTGACCGGAATCTCCAAAGGTAGGGCCCAGGGATCTACTTTAAACCAATTCCTTGGTGATCTCTATGCACAGTCAAATTTGAGAATCGCTCCAAGGAAACAACAAAGCTTTATCAGCTGCTCCTCTCAGCCCCCTGAAATCTGTCCTGAGGAAGAAGAGCCTGATATGAATCAAGGCCAGTACTCCACAAATACTTGGTGAGGTACTAAAAGCTCTGTATAAGGAAGAACACTGTCTCTCCTCTTTTCCTTAAGCTGCCAGGAATCTTGAAGCCACATATGATCTCAATTATAGAAATTCTATAGGCCTTCATAGCTTGTACCCTCCTGCACAGCCCCTGCTGGGGATCGAGTCCAAAACCCAGGCATGTGCCCTGAACAGGAATCAAACCTTGATCTCCTGGATCACAGGTTGATGCTCAACTGCTGAGCCACACCGGCCGGGGCTCATGCTCAAATTTTTTACTATTATATTCTCCCTGGTTCTAACTTTTACCTTTTATTTATTTGCTGACATTACTTTATGGTTTCTGTAAGCACTCTCAAATCCTCTATGGAATTAAATGAGGTATAAATAAATAAACATACTTACACACACATATAAATCAAAATGGCCATTATTTGCTTTTCTTCCCTGTTCCTTCCCATGCTAAGATCCTGCCATAGACATTGAAGTGCACTTCTTTGTTCCAGCTTTCAGCTGGGAATCTTTTCTCAAGAGTTTTTTATAAAGCACCAGCAGCCTTACTTGTGTCCTTGGAGTTCAATGGCAGTTCCTTTTCTCCCACCAATGTCCCACATGATTACAGAGTGATCGGAGCTGCCGGAGAACAAAACTCGCTGGACAGGGTCCCAACAGAGAGCAGTCACTCCACCTGAAAGACCAGATACAGCTGAACATTAGTCAGAGTAACAATACTATTTACCAGTAAAATGTGAATGCAAATGAATTAGGATCTAGTGCAGTTCCTGGCATACAATAACGTTTTTGTTGAAAGAGCAAACAATTAATCCTCAAAGAGAAAATAATTGGCTCTGAGAATAAGAATTCCACACTTTATAGCACTGCTTGCAAAATTTTAAACGTACCATAAAATAAATTTCTATAAAGACCAAAGAGAAATGAAAAAGACAATTAACTGACCTTTAAATAACAGTCATAATTTTAAGAAGAATGGAAAATATTGCATGGTTTGGAAATATTAGCCATAGCCATATTTTTTTAACTGCTATCTATCTCCTACCCCCACAATAATAGGTGAGAAGTTATAGGGTTTAAAAAGCTCAATTAAATTTTTAAAAATTGAGGATCAGCTATAATTAGACTACAATATCAGAACTTAAATTTTATTTTCTCTCATTGGAAATTTAAATTTACAGATTCTGGGCAAATCATTTACATCCTTAGGCATCAGTTTCCTCACCTGTAAAATAGGAATGATGGTGATATGATGACTACTACTACTACTAACAACAACTTGCCATTAACTACTTCATCTGATTGTGAGAATCAGACTGAGTCAATTACACAGAACCACTGTAAACTGTGCAGTACAGATGCTGGTTGCCAGCATTACTCCAGTGGTGTGGCTATAAAATGACAGATTTTCTTCTCTGGCAGTACTGTTATAAATTGAACTCCTTGTGCACTGAGTATAATATTAACTTTTTCCACATGAGATGAGCACAAAGCCTACAAATAATTAAGAATGTGAAAAGTACCCATTTTTTACATTATTGAGAAATACTAAAATGTAAAGTTTTTTGTTTTTTAAAGATACTATATCTAAAAAGGAACAAAAATTGCTTCTTATTTCTTGCAATCTGTTTTTCTTCTTTAGATTATCAATTTGTTCTAATAAAGTGCTTCACTTTAAAAGCTTTTAGGAAAGTTTCTCTTATATAATTGTGTGAGATTCTTTTCCAAGATCAAAAGGAAAAAAAGTACCCACTGTTCTGAATTATGTTTAATAGCTTTTTCCTAAACCTGCACAGCATTCTGCTTGTATGTATTTCTGCCCACGTAATTAACATCACTTCCCCCAGTGCACACGTGGTAAACACCCACTGCAGCTCCTCTTCCCTACCACTCCCTGCTCTTCCACCTTCCCTTACACACACACACACTCCAGCACCAAGTACACAGCCAGGAGCAAACAGGCCCTAGTATTATCTGTTGAATGAATGAAGGAGCAGATGAATGAAAACACAAAAATATATATATTTTTAATCCATAAATCTTATTTGGAACTCATGTGATGCTTCCTTAGCCTTTCAGTGCTAAATATTTCCTCTTTCTGTAGAATCATCTTTCCTTGCTATTAAACTCCATGACTATATATATATATAAATTTTTTTAATCATCCTTCAGTATTTGGCCATGTAATAGTTCAGGATATGCATTCCATTCTGCAAAACATGTTATTTATTCCCCCACTGTACCCAAATGGCTTATTTGGTTAAATATCTGTGGCAGAGTTAGCTAAATGTCTATCCAACTTCCTATTACCCCTTCCATATAAAAAGTACTCCCTGGAAAGCTGTTGTCCTTCAAGGACCACATTTACCAGGAGCTCTTGCATCTATGGGGCATGCCACCAGTTCTCAGCAAAAGAACCTTGAAAGGAACCCAGAAAGTACGTGGAAGTAATCCGCATCTTTTCTAGGCCAAGGAAGTTAAGATATCCCTTTTCCACTTTCTCCTTACACTTCCTCCTAGAGGACTCCAAGACTCCAGGGCAGGGAGAAAATGCATTCCATGAGGAGCCTGGGTCCCTGCATCACCACATGGAAAGAGCTGTAAATTAGCAACACTTATACTGGATTGTTATATGAGCGAGAAATTAACTTCTGGTACATTAAGGCACTGAAATGTTGAAAATTACTTGTTAGAGCAGTTAGCATTACCTTTTACAATGTCATATATTTTTGGACTATTGTAATAAGGCTGGCCCAAGAGGAAGGTGAGAGTCACCAAAAGCTTCATAAATGTAATACAGATGAAAAGAAGTTACTAGTTTAAACTGTTAATACTGATGCCTAATATTTAAACAGAATTTAGCCTCCAAAGCAAACCAAACTCTGAGTTGGTTTTTCCTCCAAAATATATCTAGAATCTAAGTATTTCTCACTACCTCTACTGCTATTTTTGTATAAGTTGCTATCATACAAGGAAAATTAAGAAGTATGACACACATTTTGTTGTAAAGGCTATCAAAGAACACACTCACATACATTGTCGATGAGGATGCAAACCAGTAAAGTGGGGAAGGACACATCTAACAAAACTACATGTGCACTTAGCTTTTTAATCCTGCAATCTCACTTCTAGGAATTTATCTTGAAGGTACTGTCCCCACTCCCACCAAATAATACAAAAATATACATGCACAAGGCTATTCATTTCAGCATTGTTTGAAATAGCTAAACATTGGGAATAGCCGAAATGCTTATGTAAGAGAGCAGGAGAATAAACCATGGTATACTCACACAGAGTACTATGTAACTGTGAAAAAGGAGGAGGATCTCCTGGATGGATAGAAAGTGATTTCCAGGATGTACTGTAAAGTGCAAAAGAATTATCTACATCATGTACCTTTCATCTAAGAAAATAAGGGTAAATGAGAAATTAAAGAGCTTTATTAATAGCAGGTGTGTGGGAAAGGCTGCAGAATGGGAATGGAGAAGGGATGAAAGAGAGTGAAACTTTTCATAGTATATTTTTTTTGTTTGGTTCTGAGTTTTAGAAACATGTATGTTTCACATACTCAAAAACAAGTAAATAATTAAAATCAGTCTGGCTGGTGTTGCTCAGTGGTTGTGTATCGACCAGTGAACCTGGTGGTCACAGGTTCAATTCCCAGGCAGGGCACATGCCTGGGTTTCTGGCTGGATCTTCAGTAGGGGGCATGCAGGAGGCAGCCAATCAATGTTTCTTTCTCATCACGAATATTTCTCTCTCTCACTCCCTCTCCCTGAAATCAATAAAAAACATATTTAAAAAGAAAATCAATTAGGAGGGTGTGTGTGCATGTGCATGGTGGACCCAAAATGGAATACGGGAACAAGTAAACCTAGCTGTATTACCAACGAATGATACAACCACACTAAAGTGGGGCAGGGGGAGAAGTGATAAAAGTAACTTTGGAAAATGGTAATATGGCTAAATATAAAAAGATTTGTACAAAAAACTGTATTCTAATTAGTAGGTTTATATTTCACAGGGCTATGTGTTATATTAGGTTAATAATTCTGAAACTATTCTATGTGTATTCTAGGATTAACTAAGTAAATGTATTGAGGGTAACGAGAGCTGAATTTCTCACTATTATAATAGGAGTTATAAATAGAGGAGAAAGGTTAGAATGATCTCTCTGGTGTTAGATTGGACTTATCAGTATGAAATCACAAAAATATATGGTTATAGATGTGTGAGTACACATGTATTTTTTTAGTTTTGTCTACTGAGAGAGCCTAGAAGCAATGATACCTCATTAACAATGAGCACACACAACACTTAAATTATGGCTTCTAAATACTATTCACTAATAGAAGGAACAAGGGAAGGGCTGTATGGATGGCTGATTCCAGGGCTAAGGCAAACAGTGTACAAGCTGAGCCAGGAACATCATGTGGTACCAAAAACTAAGATGTGTTCATAAAATGATGGAGACGTGAAAAAGGACACAGGAGCCAATGTTGAAGAGGTTCCTAATGGCCAAATTTGGGATAATTTGAGCAACAAAATAAATAAATGGTAGGTAGTACAGGGTTCTCATATAGAAATTAGTAAGAACTTGTGGGCCTATTCCAATATAAGCAATTGAATAAATAAACAGGGAGTAAGTGAAAGTTTTTCCTTATAGTACAATTACAACTAAAAAGTGTAGAAGGAATAATAATAGAAAAAACAATGTGGCGATCACCACAGTCATACTTGTTTCTGGTAAGAATCATCAATGGATACTAAAATTATAGGGCAGAAATATAATAAGAAACAGAATTTTTACATTGTTTCAAAGTGTTTCCTCATAAAACACTTATGAACTACAAAGGGTGATCAAAGCGGAGAAAACTGACAGACACATACCCTAACCAAATGATCAAAGTTATCGTCACTAGTAACAGGGCAAAGCAGTATCATGTGCACCCTGATATTATGCACTACATAAAAAGCATAACATCACTTTTGTGGTGGTATTATAAAAAATGCATAATCTGAGTTTAACCATGAGGAAACATCAGACAAACTCAAATGAAGGAACATTCTATAAGAGAGGGGCAATCTGGCTAGTATTCAAAGATGCCAAGGTCTTGAAAGACAAGGAAAGACTAACGAAGTGTTCTGGGTTAAAGGAAACTAAGAAGACTTTATAACCAAATGCAGTGTGTGGACCTGGCATGGATTCTGAACCAGAAAAAGGATATTAGTGGGATAACTGGAGAAATGGGGATTAAGGTCTGTGGATTAGAGAAAAGTATTGTATCAATGTTAATTTCCTGGTTTTAGTATTTATACTGTAATATTCAAAAATGTTAACATTTGGGAAATATAGGTCAAAAATTATTTCAAAATGAAATGTAAAAATAAAATAAACAGCCCTAGCTGGCTTCACTCAGTGGTAAGAGCATCAGCCTGTGGACTGAAGGGTCCCAGGTTTGATTCTGGCCAAGGGCACATACCTTGGTTGCAGGCTCAGTCCCTGGCCCCGGTCAGGGTGCATGTGGGAGGCAACCAATTGATGTCTCTCTCTCCCTTCGACTCTCTTCTAAAAAGCAATGGAAAAAATATCCTCTGGTCCTTGGGTGAGGATTAAAAAAATTAAAATTAAAAAAAATAATAAAACAAAGAAAAAAACCTAGGACTATTGTAATA